CTCATTGACTTGACGCGCGGCGGGGGCCTGGCCGCGATCTCGGGGCCCAGCTTGAAATCGCGAGGCTCGCAACCGATCAAGTTCACCGCCCTGTGGCTGGTGGGGGGCCTGATGAGGTCGATCTCCACGCCGTTGTCACCTATTCTCATCTTGTTAGATCTCATGCCCACCACCGCCTTCACAAGCTCCAGGAGCCTCGCCGGGGGAGCAGCGGCGGGCAACGGCGCGGAAGCGCCGGGAAATCCACGACCCCGCAGCCCCGCGGCGACGCCGGCACAAGGGCCTTAGCCACTGGGACCGCGCTGCCACCCACGCCGTCGGCTTCGGAAAGCCGCCGTCGTATATAGTCCACGTGGATCAAGAAGCCGCGACCCTCGAAAGCATCTTGCAAAACCTCAAGATCCCCCCCCTTGCCGATCAGCGCCTACCCCGCGGCCGCGTCGACAAGACCGCACGGCCCGAGAGACCTAAGTGAGAGAGGGCCGAGAGAGTGACCGACCTCCGCCAACGCCAGGTCGCCCTGGCCGAGGAGAATGTCGGCCATCCCTGCCATCCATGAACCTCCTGTGTCATTCGCGTCACTGACTGAGAAATAGAATGGGGTCTGACCGGCGCCTTTGCCTGCAGCACTCTCCGCTTTCAGACGATCAGCTCGAGACCTGTGGGGTTCATCGCCCTCGTCGCGCCAGCGGCCCGTGTCTCCGCAGTTCGAGCACGGGGACCTGCGCTTGAGGCCCCCCCTGGAGATGCGCTTGAAACCTGGCCGTGGAGGCGGAGGAGCCCGGCCGCGTCGTCGATCGAAGAAGTCCCAGTCTACCCGCCTGGCGTTCTTCATCTGCTTAGATTCCTGCCAAGATCGTCGTGGTCGTGGCTCAGCAACTTCGACGAATACCTGGCAGGCCTGTTCCTCATCAAGATCTTGTTCGTCTATTGCTGCCAGCAGCGTCTTTGCCTCGTCCTCGGGAAATTCTACCCCGAAGAAATCGAACGACTCCTCGGGCTCTATCTCGTCCTGGTTCGAGCCCTGGCCGCCCGTCTCTACGCATGTCTTCGCAGGGCCAGGCGCTAGTAGTGGGAGAACAGTATTTTCTCGAACATCCATCGCCACCAAAGCCTTGCTAACCGATCTCAGCGTCATATCCTCTCCTATCAGCGTCCTCAAGTGGACTCTCATCTGGCCCTGCAACATCGCACCCTCTTCGTAGTAGCGTGCCAAAAGCTGATCAGGCAATGACAAGCCGAACCTTTCTGCCTCACTCACCTGGCTGTCCCGTCTGACCACGAACCCTGTCAACGACTCGCCTGTTCGGATCTTGGCGTCGAACAGTGCTCTGTGTTGTGCTTCTCCTTCTTTGTCGCCGGGCTTCTCGCCTGACAACAGCTCCGAGTGTGAGATGAGGCTATCGAGGCCGTCTTCCTGGTCGAGCTTGTATCTCAGCGCGCGGAATTTCGCTTGCAATTCGATCGGAAAGAATTAGAGAAAGCTTCCTGCTTGACTCTCTGACTTGTAACCTGTCCACAACTTCCACGAGCTCAAGTTGTGTCGATAAATCTGCAGATGTTCGAGCCCGTGAAAGACTGGAGGTACCGAGAAGTCTCTGGACCTCTCTTTCAAGGGATTGCTCACCTTCTGCCAACCGTCCCAGCTGTCATCCCGGGATGCATCGTCGTCTTTCTGGTCAGGCCGCCAAGTCCATCGTCCTCCAGGGGCCTTGCCCCACGATGCAGCCCACGAGCCCCACCAAGAAGAGTCAGCCCACGGATCGTGCTCGCCCTCTCCCTTGTCATCCTTTTTGCCGGTCCCTGCCCCGGCTGAAGACCCGCGAGCGCCGTGAGTCCCAAAACTGTCGTCCCCCTCCTGCTCGCCCGCGCCCATGCTCCGCTTACCATTGTCGGCGTCGTCATCAGACATCGGAATAAGAGGATGAGGACAGTACAGTTTTGGAAGCCCTCAACGCTCCTCGTGCCTCCGAGCTCGGAGGTCAATGTGAGACCTAAGCCCAAAGGGATGCACACGGATACAAACGCTAGGGCAAGAATGGGACGTCAGACAAAAGAGCAGAGGGGGAGGAGTGGACACAGAAGACACTGGTGTTCACAGTCCTCCTCTCTCCACCTCATCCCTACACCTCAGCATCCTCCTCCTCCTCCTTCTCTTCCTCCTCCCCGCTACCCTATGATTCCCCCTCACCTTCTTCCTCCCCCGGCCCTCCCCACTGCGGCGACGACGAAGACGACGACGACGACCAGCACAACCACCACCGTCACCACCACGACGACGACCACGCCCTTGACGACGACGACGACGACGACGACGACGACGACGACGGTGACGGTGACGGTGACAGCGACGGTGACGGCGACTGCGACGGCGAAACCGACGGCGACGGCGACGGCGACGGCGGCGACGGCGACGGCGGCGGAAGCGGCGGCGGCGGCAGCAGCGACGGCAATGGCGACGGCGACGGCGACGGGGGCGGCGCCGACGACAGCGACGGGTGTGGCGACGGCAACGGCGACGCCGACGGCGACGACGACGACGACGAAAAAGAGGAAGAAGAAAAAGAAATAGAGAAAGAAAAAGAAGAAGAAGAAGAAGAAGGAGGAGAAGAAGAACACGAAGAAGACGAAAACGAAGACAGCGGCGGCGCGGGGCGCCGCGGCGGCGCGAAGCCCGCGGGGCCGCGGGCCTTAATGCCCGTCAGCAGCTGTTGAGCAGTCGTGTTCATCTCGGTGAAGGTCGGCGTGGGCCTGGCGGGCTCGGGCCGCTCCCACCACGCCGCGAGCTCGGGCAAGGCAAGTCCGTTCGGGCGCTCGAGGTGCGGGCCGCCGCAGGAGGGTCCGGGCTCTAGGCGTTCGAACGGTCTGTACCTTTCGAACCTCGGCAGTCTTCGCAGCCAAAAGGTCCCTGTCCATACCATGCACAGACAGCACCCCACAAGAGAAATGGAAGAGACACAAGCCCATCTGAGAAGCCTGACGCGAAGGCCTTCGGAGGCCTCGGGGAGGCCTCTGGGACCTTAGGAGGAGGTCGCCGCCGCTCGGGAAGAATGTTCGCGGGATTGGTCCAGGAACGCTGCGTGGGAACAGACCCATCGCGGCAAACTCCTCCACCCCTCTCCATGAAGGTAAATCCTCCCTGTCGCACGCACAGACGTGTCGGTAGGGCGAACAAGGCGTTTCGCCTGAGATCTCAACACCACCTTCGACCCTGAGGCTTGAGACTTGCAACAACTACACATATGGAGAGGTGAAGGCATTCGTCTCAAAAACTGTGAGGGGTCACAATGCGGGGTTCGCATTAGCACCGCGCACACTCGTCTTCTAAAGGTTTGCAACAGCGACTGGATGGAGGGCGTGCTGATTTCAACACGATGTTTTTGGTGAAGCCCCGCGCGCATTCGTTTTGAAAGGTTGCAACAGTTACAAGGGTTGGGGGCGGCTCCTTGTCAGAATGGTGCTCCCGTCTGAGCACCGCACACCTTCATCATAAAAGCTTGCAACGACTACCAGGATGGAGGGAGGGTCCTTCTCAAAATGTGGTGCTCTCTCGAGTTCTCCACAGATAGAGGGCGGTCCATGTTCAAACTGGGACTCTCGATTCAGACTTCCTCGAACGGGCCACCAGACATGCGAATGTGTACACTAGTTGCACGGAAAATGGGCATTTCCTTTTTCAAGACGGAGTGTCGATTCGCACGTCGTTAAACTGCATGGGCAAAGTTTATCGCATCCCTTGTGTATCGCTAGAATGACGCAAGGCATTGCATTTCTCAAAATTGGGGTGCTCGCCTGAATGGCAGCCACATGGAGGGATCATTGGTCAAGTGCGCGCTTCTTGTTTTGACCTGAGAAGCATTTAAGGGTTTAGACGGAAGGGGTCTTGTGGCGTCCTGGCAACATCGTTGACGCATGTGGGGTTAACCCTGGTCATCCTCTCCGTGCCCTTCTCTCCCCCCTCATCATTGTTCTCGTCCTCCTCGCGACACTTTGCAGGCATCGCGTAAATCGCGGCCTGCCCCTGGGGTGCAGTCCCTTGCCCCCCCTCCGCCTCCGCCTCGCCCCCCCCCCCTGTTCCCGATGCCCATATTCCCCCACCGCGAAGGGAAGCGGGAAGGGGAAGGGGAAGATGAGGAAGAGGAAAAAAAAAACCTTTCTCTGGGACATTCTGACCACGAACGAGGGGGCGCCACGAGTAGGGAGAGAAAGAGGAGGAGGAGAAGGAATAAAAGGATGAGTGCGGATGAGTGCGGGCCAAAACGGATCACGACCGCCTACGCGTTCGTGCCGTGGGAGCCTCGGGCCGCTTCGGGCCGTCCCCGAGCCAGACCCTCGACTCCAGGAGCCCCTATAGGGGCTGGTTGGTGGAGGGGTGTAGCCCGCTCCACAACCGCGCCAGCCTACCCCCGATCACCCTTTGGGCCCCAGGGCGACATGGAGAGAATAGGCCCGTCCACCTGTCACGGGCGTACCTGGCACACCTGCGGCAAAAGACGCACGTGCTGCGGGTCACTAGTTTGCGCCCCGCTCTCTGGGCTCTGTCGACCCTGGCGCGCCCCCAGTCCAGAGCGGCCCGAGACGGGAGGTCGGCCTCCAGGGGCGGGGCAGGGGGCTCAGGGGCCACCAGGGCCCCGCCCTCCTCGCCCACGACCGCCCCCAGGTTCCCGGGATGGCCCAGGAGGCCCAAAGGGGGGTCGGGGGGGTTCGAGTCCGTCGGACTCGAGCCCTGCTCAGTGTCGACAATGTCACGGCCCAGGACTCCTATGTAGGCTCCGAATTCCAAGATATCCCGAACCAGTCGATACTTCTGAATGTAGGCCTCTCTACACCAAACAGGGGGGGGTATGATACAGCGCTCCCTGCTTGGCATACTGATCAGCGATTTTGTTGCCCTCCCACTGCGCGCGCCCGATAGCTGCTCGCTCGGCGCGCGTCGCGTGGGCTTTCACATTCAGTACCTGCACGGTGCTCGGGCCCAGGCCTCCGAGCTCTGCGATGGCCTGGGAGATGCACTCCCAGAGGTCGAGGCGCGGGCGGCCCCTCTTGTCGAGCCACGCTGGTCCTGCCATCGCGCCGTCGACGACGTTCCGGCAGTCGGTGAAAATGCGCATGGGCGGGGTGCCCACGCGCAACGCCTGTAGCAGCGCGTAGAGCTCCGCCCGCAGGATGCTCTGGACCCACTGTGCGCCAGGGAGGGGCCCGTAGCACACGTAGTCCATGTCGTACTCGTCGTTGTCTTTGAGCTTGGTGATGATCCATCCCCCTCGTCGCAGTGGTGCGTAGTCGCCGAACTGCAACGAGCCGTCCACGTAGATGCCCCCTGTCGCGAGGCCGTCCCAATTGCCCTCGGTGAGCCAGTCGTCGCACGAGGCTAGCTCCCAGAGCCCAAGCTCGTCGGCGGGGTCGGCCGTGATGCCGCGCCCCCGGAGAGCATCGGCTCCTGGGCCTGGCCGGGGGTTGGCTCCTCGCTGCTGAATATGGTGGCCTCCGACAACGTCGCGGTGTGGCTGGCGCACTGGGCACACGAAGGTGCGGTGCCTGTCGGTGCCTGGTGCCAGCCCGCACGCTCTGCATGTGCTGTCGGTGGCAACTCCTGATGCGCGTGGCCGCGCCTGCGGCCACGTCCCTCCGCAGAACAGGCCCCGCACTCGAGTGCGGTGGGCCTGCGTCCATCGGCCCTGGAGGGGTCGTCGCAGTAGTGCCTGCACCGGTGCCAGGAAGATGGAGGTGATGCCGTACTGGCGGCCGTGCTGGCGCACCCACTCGTCCTGCAGCTGCTTCTCCGTGGTGCGCGCGACGTGGCGCTGCATCTCCTGCGGCACGGTGTAGCGGAGGTCGAGCACGTTCCCGTCGATGGTAACTGTGTGCGAGGCCTGCGTCATCCAGCCGAGGCGCCTGACCGTCGCCGCGAACGCCCCCGCCGGCCCCCGAACTGTGAGCCAGGGGGCCTTGCACTTGTATATCTTCATCACCCAGGTGCGCCACGCGCTCTGGAGCCGCGCGGCCAGCTGGTCGTCCTCGAGCGCTTCCTGCCACGCCGTGGCCCAGGCGATGATGGGGCCACTGTTGGCGAGGATGCCTGGGTCGGCCCTGTCGCTGAGCAGCGTGAGGGCCGTGGACCTCCCCTTGTTGTTGCCCTCCATCGCCGCCGCCACGTTCTTCCTGAGTTCGGTGAGCTTGGAGTCTGCCATGCCGACGACTGAGGATCCGTAGAGGAACGCTGGCACTTTGGCTTGTCGAATCAGCTTGCGTGCCGCTCCTCCTGCTCTGCGCACGGCTGCCACCCGTGCCTCTCTCGCTGCAAACTTGAGTGCCCGCTTGTTGATGGCGGCCACTCTCCTCCGTCTGCATGCTGTTGCTGTCACTCCCACGTGTTGCTCGTGCTTGACCACTCTCACGCCGAGGTGCCTGGTACTCTTGTGGATGTGCTGGCCCAGCGCGGTGGAGGAGGCCAAGGTGACCGTCTTCCCCTCCGCGCCGCGCGAGACGGCCATGTCCAGCGTGGTCTCGAACATGGTAACCACGGCCTCGATGAGCCGCGGGTGGACCTCGTCGACGTACTCGCGCCTGCCGTACGTGGCCATGGCGAGGTCGTCGAAGAAGAGGCACGTGTCCGCCCAGGGGAACTGGTGCACCAGCCTGTCCAGCTCAAGGATGATCACCATCTTGAGACATAACGGTGCGTACCTGCTGCCCGCCACGATGCCTCGCTGCCACGCCTTGCAGTCGGTGTAGCACTCGTCCAGGACGATGCGCCGCACCATGCTGTAGATCTTGAGGACGGTCCGCATGATGATTGGATTGAAGCCCCATCTCTGCGACGCCTCCCACACCTTCCGATGGGTGACCCACTCGAAGCACTTGATCAAGTCGAAGTAGGTCACCGCATAGTCGTGTCCGTCGGCCCGCGCGGCCTCGCAGTAGAGTGCCTGTAGCCATGCCGCGCGTTCCGACGATCTCCCTCGGCGTGCCCAGTCATAGGCTCGCTTGTTTGCTGCCTCCCGAAGGAGGAAAAGGAGGAGGAGGAGGAGGAGGAGGAGGAGGAGGAGGAGGAGGAGGAGGAGGAGGAGGGAGGAGGAGGGGGGAAGAGGAGGAGGAGCAGGAGGATTTAACATTAGCCACGATTGTGACGACGGGGTCAGCGGTGGGCCAGGCCTGGACCTGACCAGGCCTGGACCCCCCACCGCGCTGCGGAAGCAGTGAAGGTCAGCATCCGGGAAGGAACCTACCGACGGGACGGCGAAGAGGATCTCCACGACCGTCAGAAGGAGGAGCAGCACCAGCAACTCCTCGAAGATCACGATGGGCGCGGTATGTTACGAGCATCAGCTTCGCGCGCTCCCGCAGGTCCATCTCCTCCCATCGGAGCGCCCTCGGCGGGCCCGCGCCAGCCGCAACCGCAACGCCAGCGCACGCATCCGCCAGGGCGTCGGGCGACGTCGGCGCCGACCGCGGCGAGCGACGTCTGCCCAGCCCGTCCTCTGGGCCCGACAGATCCACGCCCGCGCGCTCGGGCCGACGCACCAGCGCCAGGCCCTGTCCAGCGGCAGCCCCGCTGCCCGCTCCAGCGCCAGCACCCGCTGCTCCAGCAGCTGCTCCAGCAGCTGCTCCAGCAGCGGGTGGCGCCTCCGCGGCACGCCGCCCAGCATCTCCGTCGGCGGCAGGCGGACCAGCACGCCTCGCAGCGCGCGCCTCCGCCAGCCGGCGGGGCCAGCGCCGCCGGCGCTCCACCTGCGCTGCCGACGGCGCCGTCGGCATCTTCACATGCTCCTCCTCGTCGACCGCCTCGTCAGCCGTCGGCACGCGCGGCGCGCCCAGCGCAGCCGAGGCAGCGGCTGCCACAGCCGCGCGGGCGACCGCGTCGATGGTGCGACGAGGCGCACGGCCGTCCACGGCAGCGCGGACGGCAGCCGCAACGAGGGCGGCGCGGTCGTACGTCGGGCGGGCTTCTCTAGCCCGCGCAGCAACCATCGCCGAGGACGGCGTCGCGGGCGTGCATCCGCTTGAGCCAAAATGAGGAGGAGGAGGAGGAGGAGGAGGAGGAGGAGGAGGAGGAGGAGGAGGAGGGGTACCCGCCACAGCAGGGCACCCTGGATCAGCGCAAACGCCGCCTGCGTCCCTCCCGGGGGAGGATCGCGGGCAGTCGCCGCTGAGGACGCGTCCGCATAGCCCGCCTCAGCGGGCGGACCAGGCCGCACACATACCTCGAGATCCCGCGCCGCGCGTCGAAGGCTCGCTGCAAGGCCGCAGACACCCCGTCCCTCCTCCGGAAAGAGTGGCCTGCCTCGACCCGCCTTGAACGCCCATGCACGCCCCTGAACCCTTCGATGATCCTCAGAACGTGTGTTGGCGCCAACCTTGTCATCGCTCGGACGTCCATTCCCCATGCATTTGTCGGTTTTGTGCGTGTGTGTGTTTTTGTGTCGCAGGACCATCCAGGACTCTCTTCCATGGTCCCTGCCGAGAAAAATGCACACGTCCGAGCGACACCAAGCCACCTGTGCTTGTCCTCCGAAGCCCTTCGCTCCGACGCAGGCAGCACTATAAGGCCGACACAGGCTGCGTGCTGTTGGGAGCAGAACGGGATGACACACACACACAAACACAAACGCACACACACACACACACGCGCACACACACGCACACACACACACACACGCACACACACACACACACACACACACGCACGCACACACACAACACACACACACACACACGCGCACACACACACACACACACACTTTGGGCTAACACACGTCCTGAGGGTCATCGAATCCTGCCGCGTGCGCGCGCGCCTGCGCTAGCGCGCGCGCGCGCGCTTGTTCAGCCGCTGGGCGGCCGCAGGCAGGGCGCCCACCGCGACAGCCGGCTCAAGTCGCGCAGCTCTCGGCGCAGCCGCTCGCGCTCGGCGCGCAACTCTTGGCACGCGCGCGCCTCCTCGTGCCACCCCTGCCTGGTCAGGAAAAATGGGGAGCTGATCCAGATCCCCACGTACGAGGGCCGCCAGCGCGGCACTCCACATCGGAAGCGAGGGCGCTTACGCGCGACCTTACGCGGGCAGCTTTCGCGCCCATGTCGGGCAAGACGAATATATGATCCTTCGTCGCTCAAACTTACTGAACAGTAACAAACGTATGTCTTTCGATATGTTCGGTCTTTGGGGGCCCTGGCCGGGGCCCCGGACCAGCAAGGCGGGGAGCCAAAACGATGTCAACGACACGCCGCCGTGGGGAACCCATCAGCTTGTTACTGTTGAGGAAGCACTGGGCCCACCAGGCCTTCGAGAGCTGATCCAGGCCCCGGAACACGAGGCGGAATACCCAGGGAGCACCGGCACACCTTGGGGCCCGGCGGCCGCGGTAAGCAGGGTGTGCCAGGCGGGTCGGGAGCTCCAGTCCTTGAGTCTGGCAACCCGACACTGCAAGTCAGGTGGGGACAACAACAAGAGCAACCAACCAGCAACAGCAGCAACGATAAAACAATACGAATACGGGTAGCATTAGCACTTCAAATAATAATGCATAACACACGAAATAGCATACAACAAAAAGCAATAATAATGATAATAACAACAATAACGCTACAATCGGCAACCGTAACAACTAGAATGGCGCTCATGTTAAGACTACTATGCCATGCAACACGTACATACCAAACAATCGGTACCTGGTCTCTTCGTCTTCGATCGAATCCTCCTGGGGGTATATATTCCTTTCCTTACCTGCCACGCTCATTTAGTCCAGCCCTAAAACAGGAGAAGAAAGGACAGATGGAAGGGGGAAGGGGGAGGATGTAACATGGGATTAGCAGGAGGGGGATTACGAGCAGAAAGCACGTGGCAGAACCAGGCGGGCAGACCGGGCAGGTAGACCTTGACGGGTAGGTCGGGAAGGCGGGCCCAGGCGGCCAGGTCGAGCAGGCGGGAAGCTGAAGCGCGAGTCCTGCATGAATCGCGGGGACTCTCGAGCGACAGCGCGATTCCAAAAAAATCGCAAAAGAATCCGCAGCGAAAGAGAATTCCATAGTGTCGAGGGCGCGGCGTCTGAATCAATTGCGAAATAGTCCCACACGAGAGGGCGATTCCTGCACAAATGTAAGGATATCCCGCGCGGGAGCGCGATGGTGGAATACACTGTTACGAAATATCAAGCGGAAGTCGCTGTTTTTGTAGTTCGGGGCACAGAAACGCAATTTGAGTACGAAGACTCTCCCTCATAAAAAACAGGGTGCGAGCCCTGACTGGTGCGCCTCAATTGAAGAGAAAACAGATGTGCACAGGTGGGGGGGGATCAATCAGACATATTCGTCACGACGGAGAGTTCAACAACAACAACAACAACAACAACAACAACAACAACAACAATTACTAGCACGTGGGGACACTCCGTTCTCACCAGTGCCAGGGTTTTCATAGGAGGCGGGCAATACCCCCACTTTGTGGGGGGGCCGGTTCAAGCTCTACCAAATTTCCAAACGACTCTTCGCCACCACCCACACCCAGCTTCCCGCCCTATGACGTTCGGACACTTCACTTCGTGGCATGCGGACGACCGTGGCTACTATTCAGGGCCCCGCGGCCGACGACGACGGCGTGCGCGCGCGAAGAAAAAACGAATGTGTCCCGCATGGTATTATTTGACAGGGATGATGGCCCTGGCAGGTGCGCAACCGTTGTTGCAGAAGTTCGAAAAAGTTGCTCGCAAAAGCCCGTTTGACAGAAATGTTTAAAAAGTGTTGGGTTTCCTACGAATCCGCAAGAGCGCGCGGGATGAAATTTTGACAATTTTTTTGAAAAACCATTGTTTTTTATGTTTTTATGTTAAAATCGCTACGAAAACTAAGGTTTTGGAAGGATTTCGTTTTGCGCGCGCGAATGTCCACTTTACCTTATTTTTTGCAAGGGATTCTTGAAATGTGGTTATGTTAGAACAAGAAATGTCATTTTATATTGTTTTTTGCAAGGGAAAGCGGGGGGGAACAAAACAACCGGATCCGGACCAACCCGTTTTGCCGGAGACTTCCTCACGAAAATGATGAAAACATGGCTGCGGCCTAGGCGCGGCGAGGGGGCCGTGCACCAGGGGCCCCAACAATAATTATTCTTTAGAAGTAATAATGTTCAACAACAACAACAACAGCAACAGCAACAGCAACAGCAGCAACAACAACAACAACGTATGACCACTACCTGCAGGCCCCATTGTATCTTGGAGGTCCTACCCTCTTGTACGACCCCTAGCTGGAGGCCCCATGGGGGAGGGGCCCGGGAAACGGGAAACGGGAAACGGAAACCCCTCTGGCCTTAAATTACTAGGACTATTGGATCCAGCACGACCCTTGCACCTCCCCACTGGACCCGACCACGCAAACTCAAGGGAGCACCAGCGAGGCTCAATAATACATACAGAACCCTTGCGGATCCTTCGGGATCCCTGAAGAACCCTATGGGCTCC